GTGACTGTCTCATCTAAAAACATATGTTGTAGCTTTTAGCGTGATGATAAGCACTTGATCAAAAATTGCCAGGAACCAAATTTAAGAACTCAACAATGAGATAAATGAAAGATTGAGAAAGAAATGAAATAAATTAACGCACGTTGAATGTACTGGGATTGCGATTTCCTCCTGACCGAAGAAAAGTTTCTTGAATCCCTCAGAACCAGGATTTATGATTGCAACAACAGAAGGTGTTTCTCTCCCTATAAGTTCAAAAAAATGTAAACTTCAATTTATCACAATATCGAAAAGCACAATAAGTTTGGATTCACGTTCATTTTCGAGCAACGTAACATGATTAAGGACGTAAAATGTAATACTACTCACTACAAAGAAAATCGAAGTCAAGCATTTGTTGGACAGGAAGTTGCTTGTAGTTGTAGAATAAAGCTTGTGTAGTCCTGGAGAAAAGCTGTCCAGTAGCCATTTTGCCTAGTCAATTTTCACGACCTGTACACAGTGGGCGGAGCCAGAAATTCAAAAAAAAAAGAAAGTTATTATGTCAAGGAGATTGAATAACTTATATACATATGCAAAATAATCACTTTTTCCCCATCTACATAGTGGGATGGGAGCTACGGGTGAAGATGAGTTGTGTTGGAGGGTGGAACTGTCGAACTGACACAATCAATATGGAAATCTCTAGTTCGAGTAGGGAAAACAAGTTTCATAAATGACAATTCCAAGCTCATCGTCTCCTCCAAACCCCCATCTATTGACCACCTACCCCTCACCACCACACTCGATAGTATTTTACTAAATTACATATAAATGTTCTCGGACAATTTTTTTTTTTTTTAAAAAACACTTACTTTCCCAAAAAAACTTGGAAAACATTCTCCTTCACACTGAACAAGCAAAGGCAGAGCATCACTGAATCCACTACTTTTCTAGTAATTAATAAGCTCGAAAACACCTAAGGAGACAAACAATTCAAGTGATTATAGACTAACAAACATAAATTTGAATCCAGAATTCAGCAGAAGGGAAAAGACTCAAATATGTCATTAAACGTTGAGAAAAGGCTCATCTATGCCATCCGTTAAAAGTTTACCTCATCTATGCCCATTTTCGTTTGAAAAAAAAGGCTCATCCATGCCATCCGTTAAAAGTTTGGCTCAACTATACCATTTTCGTTTGAGAAAAGGCACAACAGTTAACACATAATGGCATGAATAAGTCTTTCCTCAAACGGAAATGACATAGATCAGCCGCCAAACTCTTAAAGGATGACACAAATGAGCCTTTTCTCATAGTTCGATGACGTATTTGAGCATTTTCCCACAGAAAATGACAAAATCACAGACACAATAACACAAAAAAATAATTAAAAAATTGATTGAATTAGAGAAAAGAAATGAACCTACCTCATAATATCTTAAGGCTCACAAAATGATCTCCAAGAGGGATGTGTATATCATCTGATAGTTCATGTGATTGACACTCAAGCTGTAGTATCAGAATTTAAATCAATGTGTGTGGTTAATAAGTGATAGGATTATTGATTTCGAAATCAATGTCACTACAATAAAAATAGCTTTTAGCGGCAATAAATATACACGTTAACAAAAAGTGATAAAATTTTATCAATATTAGTTAATTGCCATTAGAAACATTTACAAATAGTATTAATTGTCTTTAAAAATACATATTTAATCATAATTAAAATTATGATCATTAATTAATTACTGCTAAAAATCATGAACATTTCATGTATCCCCACCACGACCTTAATTGGTCGGAGAGTGAGGAAAAGAGAAATAGATGTGTGTACGTAATTATATTCACAATTATTGTACAGAGAGGAGTGGGGCTGCTGCATGGGAATAATCCACATTTAATTGTTATAATTTCCTTTTTTAGAGTCAAATTATAAGAACTTTGACTAACATTTTATGGAGTATTTTTTTTTATTATATTGATATGCAAAAAGTTGTAATTTATAGTACTTTTCGTATAGTTTTTGAATATCTAATTTTTTTGTTTAAAATATCAAATTAATGTAATCTAATTTAACTTTGAAAATTAGTCAAATTGACTTTCGAAAAGTGCAACATGACAAATAAAAGTAGACGAAAGTAGTAGCTAATTCAGAAAGAACAAGAATTAATGAGTACTGGGTGGATTCAAAATTTAAATTTTATGAAAAATATAAAAACAATAATAATAATATTAAATTAATATACATAATTGAGTCACGAATAAATATTATTTTGTCTTTATATTATTCTCTTTTTCTTTTTCTTGAAATATATTACTCCTTGTTTAAACTACTACTGAAAAAATGCTGAAAAATATATATCTTTAAAATTGATCTATGGAGGTCGGTTTTTGATATCGACTAGGACAATACCTTTGATATCAAAAACCGACCTCGTACCTATTTCTGAAGATCAATTATATATTTTTCTAGATGAAAAATATTATCTTTCAGAGTTCAATTTCTATAATTACACAATTATAAAAGGCGCATGTATATCGTTTGCACGAAACACTTTGAATAGAAAATATCGAATACGTTGGAATTGACAATTGTTTTTCGACCGTCTTCATCGTATTTTCCAAAAAAAATTAATTGTTTTTTCAAGTGATTACGTACTTGAGTACGTTAATTTTGATTTCTTTAAGGTGAATATCATAGTCAATATCAAAGGTGTTTAGATATAGCAGACAATATTATCAAAATCTCCGAAAACTATTAAAGTTTTGAAAATCGTCTTTAGTAAGGAACACTTTAAATTAATTTTCAGATGCGAATCTTTATTAGTTTATTAGTCGAACACTAAAAGACTACCGGACATCAGGTGAAAAACAAAAAAAGAAAGGGTTGGATATAGCGAGTCGGAAACAACATTTATACTTCACAGGAATAAAGTCTGCATACACGCTTACTCTTATCCATACATCACTCGTGGAATAACACTGACTATTCAATTGTCATATATATATAACAGACAATACCATCAAAATCTCCAAAACAATCTCATATAAAAAAGACAAATAAACATGGGTTAGTATATGTTGGGAAAACTTATACCAAGCTTGTCTTTCAATACTTTTCAAGATTTGAGCAAAAAATGTTCAATTTTGATCAAGTTTCTAATAAATTCAAGGAATTAAATAGTTCAGAATCAAATGAAATGAACTTATTAAACTTTGATTTTGTTAGTGTTGATGATTGGGATTTTAATGTGGAAGAAATAGAGCCGTTGATGAACCTAACTCAACCGCAGAAGCTAGCTCAAAGGGAAAATGATTGTACAAGTCTTATAAAGAGCTCAAGTTCTCGTCTAGATCGTCCGATGTGGGATTTTTCTCATCAACAATCTCAATTGCCTTCATCATTCAAGATCCTGAAAGATTATGACACAACAAGGCTCATCAAAAGATCAAAAACAGAACAGAACATCATTATTAGTAATGAATGTATCAAGGAACACAATGGATCTATGTTATCTACAGACGAAATCCTTCGTTTAGGTGCTGAAAAGTTCATCCAATCGTTTACCATTCGTGGTGATCAAGAACCATACATGTTTAGCCATCCATTTGCGAGCTCATTTCTTGGCCTTCCTGAGGAAGACACTAGAAATGTGGCACTAGTCGAAAATCTTCTTGCTTCTGCTGAGAAAGTAGGCCAGAAACAGTTTGATCGCGCTAGAAGGATTCTCAACGAGTGTGATAAGTTGTGTTCCAACACTGGAAATGCAATTCAGAGATTAGTATACTACTTTTCTCAAGCACTTCATGAGAGAATTGATAGGGAAACAGGGAGAGATTCATCGAAAGGAATTGAAATGAAACGATTAGTACAACATATCGAGCATTCGTTGATGAACTTAAACCTCACTATGATTGCAGCACATCAGAACATACCTCTGTCTCAGGTGACTCAGTTTACTGCTGTTCAAGCCATTATAGATCATGTAGGTGAATCGAAAAAGGTTCATATAATCGATCTCAAGATAGGTAGTGGTATGCAATGGACAATCTTGATGCAAGCTCTTGTCACACATCAATTTGAATCTGAATCTGAATCAATCAAACATCTCAAGATAACTGCTTTATGTACCAAACTGAGGCATAAAATTGAGGAAACACGCCAACGATTGATGGACTTTGCAAAGTCATTGAACTTGCCCTTTTCTTTCAACATTGTGATGGTTAAGGATATGACAGAGCTAAAGCAAGAAGATTTTGAGATAGATAACGAGGAATCAATTGCTATCTTCGCGCAATACATCCTTATGTGGATGTTAGCGCGACCAGACAAGCTTGACTCTTTGATGAGAGTTATCAAAGGTATAAATCCTCGAGCAATGATCGTTATAGAAGTGGAAGCAAACCATAACTCACCAGTATTCGTGGACCGGTTTGTGGAAGCCCTTTTTTTCTATGGTGCATTTTTTGACTCGTTAGAAGATTGCATGAAGAACGATGAACGAAACAGGACAGCTACAGAATTGGAACATCTCAGCCAGGGAATAAGGAGCATTGTGGCAACTGAGGGTGAGGAAAGGACCATTAGACATGTAAAAGTAGACGTCTGGAGGGCGTTTTTCGCGCGATATGGTATGGAGGAAATGGAGCTAAGCATGTCATCATTGTATCAGGCAAACTTGGTGCTCAAGAATTTTGCTTGTGGGAGTTGTTGCACACTGGAAATGAACAAAAATTGTCTACTAATTGGATGGAAAGGAACCCCTCTTAATTCACTTTCTGCTTGGAAATTTTCTTGAAATGTGATATACAACATGTTTTATGAATGTATTATCATGATGATTAATTTCAAACAATATTTTTACTTTAGTTATTGTTTAAAAAAATAAAAAAAATAGGGGCAGAAGGAAGTGGGAAATGGGGGAGGGGATTACAAGGTGGAAATCGAACCCTCACCAACTAAGTGAAAGGTCACAAGTAGCCAACCAACTGAGCTACTAAGACAGTATGGCTATTTGGCAAAAGACACCACTCTTCATTTCTTTAAGCAAACACAATAAGAGCATGGTGGATAACATAAACTTTGCGTGAATGCAAGTCTTCAGAATTTCGCGTTAGTAAATATAACATGGCGTTCCAATCCAACATGTGACGGGAATCATTACATTGTACATGAACTACATGATGAATAGTTACGGTGTTTTCCTTTTGTTCAGAATTAGTTTTTCGAATACATCAAGAACTAACAGTGCACCCCCATAATGCAAAATGTAGTCTCAATCCCTCCACCTGTGGCCACAGTTTGGGTTGCAGCAAACAAAGAAGAGCGTCATACCTTCTTCTCCCCTAGCAGTTGCCTGCACATATATCAAATGTTTCAGAAAACTGTGTAAAGATATTCACTAGATAGATATTACACACGATCAAGCAAATACAGGTCGTTATAGCAAAAATCTAAAGATAAGAGTCTTGATCTTCAGTCATAATTTGTCTTTCAAATAAAGAAGTATGGAAGCTCTTAACAGACCACAATAGAATAAGGTGGTATATAGGAAATAATACACTGAAAGGATGATGTTATCTGGAGAAGTGCAAAGGTACAGACTGTTTGCTTCTATATCATTCAGGTAGTAGGATTGTAAATTTCAAGAAAAGGAGTTCCGGTATCCTAAACCAATGAGATTTAAGATTTCTTCTGAAAACTTTTAGAAGGATTTACTGGGCCAGAAAGGTTGTAGGGTGGTTGTGTAGGGGAACAGTAAAAAATTTCCTAGTAGGTGAGAACAGTGAAATTTCTCGATGCACATATACAGATAGACCAAGCTCCTGCAATTGCAGGTTAACTTGACTTGGCAACAAGTTTCTTTTCTACCATAATCGTAGTGTTTTCTTTCAAGATATTCCAAAGTAGACATCTCCAACAAGACACAGCAGGATATATGTCATCATTAATTGTCAATGTCACAGAAACTACAAAACTATTTACTTTCACCGTAGATCAGATAAAAAAATCCACATAAGATCAAAAGGCAAATATGAGAGATATGAAGCTTTAAATTGTCCCAGCCACTGAAACCAGAAACTCTGGCATATTAGTAAAAAAAGATATGAAAGCAGTAATATGTAAGCATTTGTGGCTTAAATACAAAAGAAAGCATAGACAAATGAAAATGACCTGGAAGAAAACTGCTTCTCCATGACCACATTGAGAACATCGAACAGATTTTGTACGAGGCAAAGTTGGATCTGCTGCTACATCCTGCAATACTTGTGTGCGTTCTGCAGCAGAATGGTGTATCTCATTTCTGTACACACAATTGTTTTCAGCAGGCTCCTGAAAAGTATGACAATAAGTATTGAGATGGAACTCAAAGTTGACATCACATAATGATAAAAGAAAACATAACACTAAGAAAGTACTGATCAGTGCTAAAAGCTAGCCTACAATTTCTAGCTCTTAGCGATTTAATTCTACAGCTAGAATTAGCAGCACAAGTAAAGGAGGCAAATAAGACAGACAAAGCAAAAGGAGCAATAGACAAGTCACCAGATTCCATTTTGAATTAGAATTGTATTTGTCAAAACATAGATGATCTAAAAACCTTGATGTCTACAAGCACTCGTTCTTGGAAAACGAAATTCAAGTTTCAAACAGACAAATTTTAGCACAGTAAATAAAGCAAAGGACCAAAAGTACTATTGGATAAGCTCCAACCAAATGACTAACTATTAATAATTGGATAGGAAAGTCTACTCAGAAAAAAATAGCTGGACAAGAAAGGTAATCTTTCAACTTAATTAGCTTTAAGGAATGAATGGAATTCGACAGGCAAAATTAAGGGATGAAACAGCAGCACAAAGTTTTTCCTTTATTGTTAAAATTTATTATGATTCAATGCAGCTTAAAAGATCTAGAAAATGATAGTGATTAGACTGCTATATGGAGTAATCATTATGCAGCACTGGGTGAGAATGAGAATAACATCAAGAAAAAAAAGGCCTTCGAGGACAAAAGCTTGGTAAATTAAGAAGCACAAAAGAAAACATGTTGCATATATTGGTTATATCCAAATAGGTGCCCCCTTTTGAAGGAACAAAATCTGTGGCTGGTAAAATCAAGATTTATAGCAATAATCGTGCTAATTTTGATAGAGGTACAGCTGCAATCTCAACACATATGGACCTGATACAATTAGTTGACAACATCCACCATAAGAGTCAAGCTTCCCACGTGAATCCATCCCCAGCTTTACAGGACTCGAATGATCTGATTTCCATGCCCTCTTGCACCACACTCTCACTCTCTTTCCCCTCCATACACACACAAATATAAACATTATATGTGTACACATCAAGAGATAGATGTGGTATTAGGCTATGTTAAATGGATCTTCATTTTCCTTTATTTGGTAAGCAAGAAACATTTTCTGAAGATGGATCTCTTCACATTACTTGACTAACCATCTTGAACAGGTGTAATATGTGCCTTGGTGCTTTATATGGTTACTTCAAATTACACTAATACAATCCATACCAAATACTAATACAGACCCGTATCGATTGTATAAACGAGTCTATGTAACAGAGAGTATTTAAAAAATATACAATATAGTAGATAAGTGGTGTTAGTGTCAGCTTACGTGCACCTCAATTATTCCACCGAGTACCTGCTACCTCCCACCAGCACATGTACCGGCCCATCAAAGCTTATACAAATGAGAAAATTCCACTAGTGTTTTCTCTCTCTATTGAAATTTGAACCTTGGTGTCTAAGGTTTGCACCCACTTAATTGTGTACTTAGAGGTGAAGAAGAAGATATATTATTTTCCATGCCCATCTAACGAGCAATCAGATGAGAAAGAACAAGAAAAGAGAAGAGAAGTGAAGAGTGCATAGACAGCAACTTGGCTTGGCGATCAGATGATAGTAATGAGTTATCACTTCACCTTTCATGCCACTTGAGCTCTTATTTCCGAGAAATACAGTAGACATGCTATTGCTAAGACAACTCAGACTTGAGGGAAATGAGGTCCATGGTGCCAAAAGGTCGGTTATAAAGACAACTTTAACAAAATAGTTCAACCATACTATTCAGGAAATCCAATTACAAATAGGAAGTGTTTGGGATGTTTGGATTGAAACATGCATGGATAAGACTGACACCATAAAAGCAATAAATTTATTTCACACTTTTGACACAAGAATTTCCTTTAAAAGTAAAACAAATCTACAGGAGTACACTTCATTTTCGGTTAAATGCACTGGGAGATGTGAAATATTAGAACTTAAATTTCAATCAAATAATTTGGAAACCTTAGGAAACACATCGAACCATGTGAATAACAACTTGAAGATCCCAGATTCAACTCCAATCTATAACACACTTGGTAGACAAAATCACCTCCACAACTTGTGATTTTGCATTGGACAGCCTGCTCGGTGAATTAGACCACACAAGCCATCCCGAACACCACAAATATAGCAATAACATATAGAGAAAAAATCTCCCTTAGATACTAACAAAAGATTCAATCTTTTTATACAAAATCCAGTAAGCTTCCTTGCAATTTCTACTAATAAGCCCCAATTCCAAACGAAAACTCACCACATTTGGGTTTTTCCTCAACTATACCCTAAACCCTATTCGTAACACTATACAAAACTACAAAATCCCCCAGTAAAATCTAAAACATGTCTTCACAAGTACACCATAGGATGCTGGATGTAGCACAAGCTACCAGAATCGACCGTATAAAAAGCAAAAAAAAAAAAAAAAACCAATGGGTCGAACCTGATGGTCGCAATTACGGCAAGCATAAAGGAGAATCTTCTGCTCCTTATCTTCCTTTGGATACAAAATGTTGTTACTGCAATCAAAATTCATGAAGAAATTGGTCACCATTTTGTTGAAATTAACACTTAAAATTTAATGTAAGAAGAAATCAGAACAAATAAACAAACCATTCTCGGCAAAATTTCATAGTACTCATTTTCGCAAGTTTTTTCCTTTTGAATTTCGAAGCTTTTACAGAGAAAATTGAGCGATTTGTTCTAAGCTTTTGCTGTGGGGTTCTTTGAAAGTTTTTGGGGGTTTCAATGGAGGTTTAAGGAACTTATTGTTTACTTTATTTAATTATAAAGGAACCCACCAACTGTGGAAAACTATACTAAGGCCCCAATTTTTTTAAAAATTAAATCTTCTTCTTAGTATGGTGAAACTATTCTATCTTTAACCAGAGTTCTCGGGTTCGAGCTTTGGATATAAAAAAATTATTGTAAGCGTCATCTTGAATGACCCCTGTAGTACGCGATCTAAATTTAATTGAGACTCCAATGTGGGCACTAAACACTAGGTATGTACCTAAAGTTTGAAGTTACTCTTAAACGTTCAAATTTTATAGGTATGTACCTAAAGTTTGAGATTATCTAGTTAAACTTCAAATACACATGAAATTTGTAATTGGTTAGCCAAATTTTTATGAGAATATAATATTCTCTCTGTTTTGACCTACTTTTTTTTAGTCTGTTTCCAAAAAAATGACTCATTTTCCTTTCGACAATACTTTAATTTCAGTTTTGCACGTTAAATAGTTAAAGCCACAAAATTAAAAAACATTTTAGGACATTTGACATAACTTTAATTAGAGGCAATTTCCACCAAATTGTTAGGATTGGGCTTCTGTCATTTAAAGCCTAAAGGCCCAATCAGAGACAAGACCAATTAAGGCCTTTCATTTTGACTCGGGCCTTATATAAACCTAATTTATAAAACCCTAGTTTCATTCCTCATCATCTCTACTGAAAACCCTATCACCGGCGGCAGGTATTTCAATTTCTCTCTTTCCCCTTTTCGTGCATTTGTTAAACTGAAAAAAAATTGCGATTTGGGTGCTAAATTCTGTTGGATTTTTGCTTTTTTCTTATATTTCTGTAGTTTGATTGTGAGATCGAAGACCAAAAATGGCCAAGTCGAAGAATCATACCGCACACAATCAGTCGTACAAGGCTCACAGGAATGGAATCAAGAAGCCAAAGAGTCACCGTCACAGCTCCACCAAAGGGGTATGTAAAAAAAACGCAATTTTTTATTTACCGATGTTTGCTTATCCTGAAGATTTTTCCGTTCATATCAGTTTGTTTGACTGCTCGGTTATCAATGAGTAAATAGAGAAAATGCGTTTATTATTGTTATATTTAGTAACATTTAGCTCCTATTAGGTTGTAGATTTAGAAGTTGAATCTTATAGAGTGGAAATTTGAGCTGTTGATTTTGGAATTTGAAGTTACGATTAAACATGCATTTTACTTGGAAAAAATTTGAACCTTTTTGAGTGGAAGCCCAAAAACACCATAAGCTTGATGGAAATATTTGAAAATCAGATCAAATTTCATGACCAAACATATGTTTGATGATAAGTTTTCAAAATCTATTGTCAAACACATGGTTAGATGCTGGAAAACTATAGCCTAGTACTATAAGTTGCGAGTATTCATAAAAAAAATAGTGAAAACACAGTTTAAGATGTTGTAGTTTCATGTAGTTTGAATTTCGGTTAGCATGAATGCCAAACATGTTGGGACTTGTGATGTATGGATGTGTAAGCTCGTCTTTTTCGTATTCTAAGTTATTATATGTGTAAATGCAGATGGATCCCAAATTCTTGAGGAACCAGAGGTATGCTAGGAAGCACAACAAGAAGAATGATGAAACTGCCGCAGAAGAATAGAGACTAAGCTAGAGCAATAGGGGCTTTCTGGATTTCTGTTTATTGCTGTTACTGTTATCCAAATTTTGTGTTTTTTAATTTCGTTTGTTATGGGAATATAGTTGCTACTTATGGTGAACTAGTATTTCATGATTTCGTCCGAGTATGGAAACCAATTTTACTGTTTACGCATTGACTCTTTTGCAGTAAATTTTATTACTGATACTCACCAATACATGTCCTGTGTTCCTGTTTCATCTGTTTATCTTTATTTGGATGTGTTTTGCCTAGTTATACCCACTGTGATGGAACAGTCTAATTGGCAAAACAAAGAAAAAAACACTATTGAGCATATATGGGTCGTAAACGGAAATGTGTTTTGAGTATTTTTGTCTCTGAGTGAATGAGTTTGTGATAGTTTATGGAGTCAGTGAGACACCAAGTGTGCTTGTGACTGATGTTGTGAATGAATAAAGAGTTCCTGCTGCAGACTGTTGCCTGTGTTAAATCTGAATCACTTTTGAATTCCAGTCTTTGTGTGACTTGGTCAGGTGCGTTTGTATGTGCAATTTACAGTGTTTCCTTGTTACATCTCATGCTTTCCTCGAGATGGTCTACGCAGATATCTTGATACAAAACACAATTTGAATGAAAAATAAACCATTTTGGTTTCTGGTGTTTGAAATGCAATGGTTTGATTTGTATTAGCTAACTGATGAATAATAGTATGTACGAGATGACCATTAAAATGCATGTATGGACATAAAGAGTATAATTTTTTTTTTATGAAGGATGTTTGATTAACCACGTTTTACTACGCCCACACACTTGTATCTCATCTCTATAAACGCTAGCCAGCGCTCCTAGTTCTTTGTGCACTCTCACTTCCTTTGCTAGCTATACTGAAAATCCATGGATAACACTGAGAATATTGTAAACTTGAAGAAACAATTAGGTGATGAAGTTGTTGTAGTTATGGTTCCATTTCAAACTCAAATTCATCTTGACCCTTTTCTCCAATTTGCTTGCCTAATCTCTTCTTATGGTCTCTCTGTTCACTATCTTAGCCTACCTACTTACAATCACGACACTAAGCCTCGTGCCACCGCGATAAGTCCTTCCGATTTAGCCAATATGCATTTTCATGACCTCCAAATGACTACTACTCCACTCGACCCTGATATCCCGAGTGAAGTACCTAAACATTTCCACTTATTCTGGAATGTTTCCATGCATCTCCGCCAGTCCATTACTTCCTTCTTACGTGATATTTCGTCTAAATCAAGACGAATTATAATGATTCATGATTGTCTAATGTGTTATAATGTTCAGGATATTTCATCTTTCGATAATGCAGAGTCCTACATCTTTAACCCTGTAATTTCAGCTTTTGGTATGTATTGCGATCACATATTTCCTCATGTGGGATTGCCTATCCCGCTTGAACAACAACTACTTCAAAGGCTACCATCCTCTCGAGGATGGTATTGCGATGAAATCATGAGGATAGCATCTTTTCAAGTTCAGTATATAGGGAATAGCTCCGCGGGTGATATTCATAATACAAGCAAAGTAATGGAAGGTACTAATACTTTTATCGACTTGCTTGGAATTGGACAAAACAAGTAGCAATGGGCGATAGGACCGGTTCTCCGGCCTACTAAGAAAGAAAAAAAATGGATTTCCCTGTTTGGATTGGTTGGACAAACAACCTCCAAAATCAGTTCTTTACGTATCTTATGAAATGTTGACTTCATTTTCTGATGAACAAATTAAGGAGCTCTCGATGGGTTTAGAGCTTAGCAAACAAAAGTTCATATGGTTGTTAAACGATCCTGATCTCGGGGCAGACCTCAATAGAAAATTTGAGTTTCATGCAGGGTTTGAGGAAAGACTGAATGGGGTCGGGTTACTGGTTAGAGATTGGGCACCACAAACAGAAATCTTGGCTCATTCATCCATTGGCGGGTTCTTGTGTGCGTGTGATTGGACTTCTTGTGTAGAGACCATTACTATGGGAGTCCCAATAATTGCTTGGGCTACACACTCTGACTACCCAAAAAATGGTTTTTTGTTATCAGAAATATTGAAAATAGGCTTGATCATTAGGGAATGGGACCAAAAACACGAAGAGGTGGTCACTGCATCCACCATTGATAATGTCGTGAGGAAGTTAATGGCATCAGAAGAAGGAGACGAGGTTAGAAAAAGAGCAAAAGAATTGGGGGAAGCCGTGAGGCAGTCCACAGAGAAAGGGGGTGCTTCTCAAATGGAGTTGGATTATTTTATCGCGCATATCACTAGATAGAATTTTCTATGCTTTTTTAAATGCTCTTTCAATATTTCTTTCAACCCTGTTTGAATTCTCTGCTGTTAGCTCAAACTAGTTCTTAATAAATGAATGATCTTTGAAATGCTTTAGTATCTAAATTTAGTGAAATTTTTAGTAACATCCAATATTATTGAATTCGACAGAACTAGCATATATTAATCTTTATATATTATTGGAGGCAAATGGCATTGAAGGAAGGAGAAATGGTAGTCCCCAGGAGCACATGCTTACTCTTTTTATTAAATGTCATATTCAGAAACTTGTAGCGTTTGTTAGTACAAACTTGTAGCGTCATTTTGTTCCCCTGAATAATTAGGCCCTAGTCGTTGCCATGATGAAAAAGGACAGTCCGATGCTTGAAGAAATTTGCATTCAAGCAGGTCCTGGGAAGGACCGCACCCCAAGAGGTGTTGTAATGTAGGCAATTTATCCCAACACAAGCACTAGTGACTGACTTATTTCACCAGATGATAATAGTCGCATGTATTAGCCTAGGATCTCTGAATGCATATCAACTTTTGCACTCTTCAGCTCTCTATGGCTAAGGATGTATAGTATCAGGTGTGTGTGTTTACAGTGTGAATATCTACAGACTCGAAGCTATCTTAAGTTCTTTGAGCCTTTTATTAGTACTGCTATCTGATCAGGTGTATTTGTATTTGACTCCATTTGCGCCTTATTTTCATTCACATTGTTAGATATTCAGATACAGAGAACAAAAGTATAACTAAGTATATGCTGAAGATTGAAGGTTCAACTTCATTGGATGTGTAATAGAAATGAAACAAAATTGCTATTAAAACACGCAAAATATGTCTATAGATTTGAAAAGAACAAGGGTATATAGAAACAGAACTTGTTTAACATTACTAAATAACAAATACAGATACCTTAAAATAAGATGCTGAGCTAAAATAACATAATTTTGAGTATTAAAGACATTCAAAACACTCTAATTAGACTTAAGTGGAAGGGCTAAAAGTGGTTTGTGACTAAAGTTTCAAGCAAAATGGAGCTTTGACACCATCTAGAGCAAGAATAGATGCTGGAATTCCCCACAATGAGTCCCCACATATTAGACCAGACGCCATTGCAGGTCCAAAATCTTTAGCCTTCTGCTTGTTATACATTTGCCAACAGAATAGGATCAATGACCCTAGACACATGTCAATGGCAAAGTAGCCTCCAAGGTAAAATGGTATGGCCATGCACATTGGACTCGGAATGAATCGATAAATTCTATACTTGGTCTCAAATTTCTTTAGCAGTTGAGTCACTAGGTTGATGAGAATAGCAGCCAGAAAGAAGCAAATGGAGAGATTGAGGCAATGTTTTGGTAGACTTCCAAAACCTTCGATGCCAAGTAGGGCAATTCCACGATACATGAGAGCATATGGTGCAGGGTATGAACCTTCTGGATCACCTAATCGATAGGCACTGTTGAAAATCCAGAAGACTAGAGGGGTTATGACACATCCCATGGCAGTTCCAATGAGTTGACTAAAGAACATGGAACGTGGGGATGTAAGGGTTAAATAACCAGTCTTGAAATCTCCCATCAAGCCAGAAGCTGTGTCTAGTATGCTCATCATCAAACCACATGAAGCAAGTCCAGCAATCACTCCACCATTCTCCAAACCAACCCAATAACTAAAGGTAAGGATTGCAATTTTTCCGTAGTTTGAGGCGAGGGACCAATCAGTGAGGCCGGCTCCATACGAATTGCAGAAGGCCAAAATAGGAGCAATCAAATAGGCAACCAAAACATGATACCATTTGAGCGAGTGGAAGATCATGGGTACTACGATGATTGATATGACTGCAATTCCAGCATATCCTCCAGCGGCTGCCCAGTTGGGAATCTGGTCCTTCAAGAAGTAATCATTTCGTATCTTTTCATCTTCATCGTCCTCTTCTGAACAATCTTGCTGAGTACTATTCTTTCTCTTTGTGAAACTTGAGATTGTGACCACCAACATGTAGGCAAAATGGAAAAGACCATCACCAAGCATCATGGCAATTGCGATAAATACCCTGTATCCTTGGATACCATGAAGACTCGTTGCAGATAAATGGGCAGAGTACCAGTCCCTTTCTTTGCTTCAATCATTGGCCACATGAAAGCCCACGAGAGTATAGCACCGTTAGCAATGATATGTTGACCATGTAGGGGCAAAGCATACCAACTCCAACATAGGTGGATAGAGAAATACAAAGTATAACCTTTTAGGCATATGCTTGGGAACCAAATGTATGCAAGCTAGCAAATCCGCAGCCTTCATCACGTGCAAATATCCACTGAACAGCCCCAAATATAAAGCTGAAGCCAAACGAGTTGAACAAGGAACCAACTTGTTTCTTTGCGAGCTCTGCTCCTTTAGGAGTGTGGAAACAGTTGATCAGGTATGCAGTTGCGGTTCCACTTGGATACGTCAACTTGTACTTCATTATCATCATCTTTCTTAATGCAACAATTGAGAATAAACCAGCAAAGCTAACAACAAGAAGATAAGGAAGCATCCAAGTAATAGCAAGATTCTTAGTATTAATTGGTAAATTTCCTGCATCAGCCTGAGATGCTATGTATGGACTCATTCCCAACATATAACTTGCTGTCCCACTGCTAAAAGCAATGCCAGAAGAAGCAACAATACACGTCTGTATAACGGTATTCTCCTGCCTAGTAAAAGGCTGTTTCAACATTCCAAATTTCTGAGTAAGAGCCGTCCATGATTTGATTCCGGCGAATCCCAATAGTCCAGCAGCAACATTGAGAGAAGGGATAACACCAGTAGTGAGATTGAGTTTGCAAACAATGAAGTTGAATACGACACTGAGGATGAATCCGGTGAACATTGCCCTCAACGTAATTTGTTTGTGCCAGGGAGGAACATATTCGTCTTTGAATGCATTCTCTGTTGATGATTCCCCTGCAGCTACAACTCCCAATTCTAGATCAACATCCTCTCCGGTATTTGTCACCATTATTAATTAGTAACTAATTATATTTGAACGAACGAACGAACAAACAAAGAAGAAAGTGAAAAGTAGAAAAATTGGTGAATATAATTGTAGGTGGGGGTGTCACGGCTATTTATATAAGTTTAGGAATAGCGTTTCCCGATTGAAGTCGGCTTTTGTTTAGTCTAATTTGAAATGGAGTCGGAAAAAAAGTTACAATTAAGTAAATTTTATCCTTGTAAATTTGAATTAGCTTATTTTAAGTGTTTTAAAGCTTAAATTCTTACCATAATTATTATCATTACAAACTATAAATTTAGAAATAACGTTTCCTGATTTGACATGGAATGGGAATAGCAATAATTAAACCACTTTAGATGGTTTTTGTTTAGTCTAATTTGACATGAAATGGGAAAATAAGAGTACTTTTCCTCATCACACTCAATCTGAATGGAATGGGATTACAATTACGGTTTCCTAATGGGAAACTGTAAGAAAAACTTACCAAAATAAACTATTTTCCTAAATTAATCAAGGTCTTTTTGTAGAATATATATATAGTACTTTTGACGGTTACAAATACAATTAAACCTTTTTTTATATATATATTTTCTTTCTCACACTAGTCCCTCCATTTAATATTAGTTGTCTACATTACCATAAATAATTGTACTAAATTATTTGTTAATTTACAAAATCAAAATAGTTAAAATTAATTATGTTTTATCCTTGTAAATTTGAATTAGCTTATTTTGAGTGCGTTTAAGCTAAAATAATTTTTAAACACTAGTGTTTGGATAAATTTAAAGAGTGCTTATAAGCACTTAGTTTTAAACTAAAACGCTAAAAATAAGCCACAAGTAGGGTTGTTCATATTTATGGTTGAAAACCAAACCAAACCGCAATCCGAACCAAACCGATTTTAAAAAATCGATATTTGGTTTGGTTTTGGTTTTACTAAAAAAACAACCGCAAATATAACCAAACCGAACCGATAAATTAGATATATAAATTTTATAATTTTATAATTATTTATATATTATTCATAAATAAAATATAAATATTTTGTTAGTTATTGATCAACTTAAGTATTTAACTTTACCATTTTTTCAAGCCCAACACTTAATTTTAGCCTAACTATTACAATCCTAAGTCAAAGTCCAACAAAATCCATTACTTTAGTTTTTACCTATCCTACCGCACATAAGATAGTCACACTTTCTATTAATTGCACCACTTTATCATGGAATAATAACTCTAATATTGCTTAATTAATTGCTTGATTGAACTGACAATAGCTTTCCTCTGGATTGTTCATGTACTAGTTTGTGTCTATCGAGATATGTATGTCCTCAAAAAAATTATTACTTTCAAAATCGAAAAACCAGAAAAACTGAACCAAACCGACAATAACCAAACCGAAGGTTATTTTTTTCGTTTGGTTTGGTTTGGTTTTAGAAATTTAAAAAAATCGACTAGATTGGTTTGACTTTGATTTTAACCAATAACCGATCCAAACCGAACCACGAACACCCCTAGCCACAAGTTAGAAATTCTAACATATTACTTTTGGCTTACAAGTAAAAATGAAAAGACAATTCAAACAGGCTAAATTCTCATGTTTGGTTGGTGAGTGAAAAATATTTTCAAAAAAATATTTTTTAGTGTCTAATTGGTAAATGAAAAACATTTTCAAGAAAATATCTTTCATTTCACTCTAGAGAGTAGAAAATACTTCTTATGAAAATAGTTTCTGACCTAGAAACCAATTCTGATAATCGATCTGAGATTTGAACCCGACAACCGAATAGGGACACGAACCCAACAACAAATTTGAGATCCGACCCCAACATATGATCTAGAAAATGATTGTGACTCTCGACTCAAGATTCAATGTCGACCCCAACACCTAAACTAGGACACGACCCCGAGACCTGATCCAAGATCTCACCCCAACTACCAACCCGGAACCTTACATTCAAACTGGGACCTGACCCCGACATCCAAACCTAGAAACGACACCAACGCGAGACCTAACCCCGACTCCCAACTTGGAATTCGACATTCAAACTAGACCCGACCTTGATGACTTATTCGGGATTTGATCTCGGCATCTGACTTTGGACTCGACTTCAACCTCGACCCCGATCTCGACATTCGACCCCAAATTGAGACTCGACACAAACTTAGATCTGACACCAAAATCGAAATATGACACTCGAATCGGGACCTAGAATTCGTCTTCTTAACTGGATCCCACCTTGACATTCGACCTAGGATTCAAATTTCGAATAGAGACCTAACCCCGACATTGGATCTGAGATCCGACTTTCAAACCAAGACCCAACCCTAACACCTAATGTGTGACCCGACTATTGATTCAGGACCAAACTTTCAAATCGGAATCCAACCCTAACTCTCAACCTATGATCCGACTCCAACCCCCGACTTGAGATCCAACTTTTAAATCGGAACCCGACTCTAATATCCGACCCACGACCCGACCCCCACTCCTAATCCATAACCCGACTTTCAAATTGGGACTTGACCCCGACTCTAACCTGGGACCTGACTATAATCTCTATTTATTTGTTTTACATTCAATTATTATTTTGTATTCCACTGCTTTGTGTATCTCGGATTGTATCATCGAGCTTTTAACATACTCTAAGTAGATGGAATTGCATCATATCTTTATGGTTCATTTATTTTCAATCACTTGACTTGGGATTGCGAAACTTGTTTTTCCTACATTTCATTGCACTCTGCACTAGCAAATTACACACGAACTATCAATACAAAGCATAAACCAAATAGAGGCAGAGCCTATGAGCCTCCTCTGTTCTGAAATTACAACAGAACATTCATCTTCTTACAACATTTGAAAAGGCTTCCGGGAGCACTACTTAAGAATGTCGATTTTCACTTCACACTGACACTCCAAGGCCTCAGTAAAATACCCTGGAATCAGTGTATCAATTTCTCATGAAAACCTGATTTGCAACTTAATTGATATGCAGCAAGTCAACCAAATCTATCCTTGTTACATCTCAGTGCTTTGTTGAGATGATCCTCTAGCGAGACCGGTGGTGCAGTAGTTCCCTCAAACACATTAGGCTTCAGAATTTCAGACAGCAACTGATTCACTAAGTGGCTGATGGTCGTGACTAGTTACCTGGTTGAGTTTTTTCCAATTCCTTTATCACTACAAAAAAATGCTCTATTTATGGCGGTTAACTTGAGGGAGTTCTTAAAAAACTCCATTATTAATACATTTTGTAGCGTTTTTTCTAATCCCACAATATAAATCATTTTGTGGTAGTTTTATTAAGGGGGTTAGAGAATTTTCATAAGTTAAAACAGTTTGTGCGATTATAGACCCCCCAAAATTTATTTTGTTACTATATATAAATAAAAGAATTAATGTTGAAAGTTAATTTCATTATATATACACACATTCTCCTTCTTCATTTCAATTGGATTGTAACCTTTGATTCTTTATTTTTTAATCTATTAAGATAAACTTAAATATTTTTTATACTTTTTATATCCAATTTCACTTCAATGTTTTATCTTATATATTGTAGTACTACAATTTGTATTAAGATATCTTATAAAGTCATATTCATTAATATTTATTTTTGCTTAAATTTTAATTTTATTTAATCTTTTGTAATACTAAAGTCAAATTAATTAATTAGTTACTTATTAATAATCATTAAAAAGAAAAAGCTTGTTCTGTGCATAAAAAATAAATAGTAATATTTTTCCCTCCAAAATATTAAAAATAGCCTTAAACCAAAATTTCCCACTAATTCCCTTAAAATTTCAAACCAACCAAATAACTACCCCCACTTCCCACGTAAAACTCCCACACACAAATCCCATATCATTTTCCCCCTAAACTTATTACTTTTCCTTCACCCTCTCCTCTT